GGAACTTTGAATCAAACAACACTGAAATAGAGTAAGATTGATTACCAGTGAAGGAATTATACAATTATACAATTATATACTCATTAAGGGGAATTATAACTACAACTTTAATTCTTCTACTTCATAAATCAGATTAAATCAGTTGCAAGAAGTACGAGGAAGAGAGATATCATACCTGGACAAAAAAAGAGAGGTTTAGAGCAGCAACAACACTGATAAGCGAGGATTAGAGCAGCAACAACACCGATGAGCAGCAACAACGAACGAAAGGCGCCGTGAATGAATTAGGGAGAATTGAAAATGAATGAGAGAGACGACAAACGAAGAGGCGCCGTGAATGAATGAGTGAGATCTGAGAGGAGATGAGGAGAGAAAGAACTAGGAGGCGTGAAAGTGAAAGTGGAATTAGGGTATCAAAATGGTTGAGATGTAAATCTAACCATTGATTTTTTAATCTATGGTTGAGAATGGTTTTCCGTGTGTGTTGTGGGGAAAAAAATCTAACCGTAGATTGTTTTTAATCTATGGTTGAGAGTGGTGATCCGTGTGTGTTGTGGGAGAAAAAAATTAACCGTAGATTGTTTTTGATCTATGGTTGAGACTGATTAGATGATGTTTTGTGTGTTGTGTATTCATTTGATCGGGATCAGTCTCCAAGACGCGTATTAAAACATCTACGTAGTATATCTTTATTTTCATACAAGTAAAAATTATAAAAACGTTATATTAATAAAATATATAATGATACAAATTTAAAAAGATCACTCATGAAGTCATGAGTCATGACTCATGAGTCTCGTGACAAAATTAAGTTTTACTGTTTTATAGATTAGTGGTAATTTATGGTCAATATTTTCAAAGTTTGACCCCAAAAATGACAAAGGGACAAAATAAAGGGACGGGTGGAGTATTAAAATAATAGTTAGAGATGGTGTAGATCATTATACTTAAACTACACGAACAATGATCCTAATTTAATTTAAAACAACAGCTCAAGTTATTGATCCAATCAAAATAATGTTCACTAATTTATAACTTTGTACTAATACATACGAAGTATTTAACTATGAGATGGTTAGATGCTATGCGTTAATGTGTACATACGATCGATTGAACTAATCAATATTACCTTGTTAATAAATCATTAATGTTTTCTTTCATTACACAAATCAAACTACTTTGTAATATCTTCATAATTTCATGAAAATATATAAAGATAAACGAGCCATAATTACCAGTCTTGTTGATTAATCAAGTATCGAATTACCAAATTGCAAATTTCCATTTAATAAGAACTCATCAAATCATGACTTTGACACTAGTATTTAAATGATTAAATAAGAAACATATAACAACCTAGTTGTAAAACAATAATACATTAATTCACTAACTTTTATAATCTACTTCGTAATACACTAGTAAGATCAATATGACTAAACTTGAAACAGAACATGATATATATTTATAAAATCAATGTGAATTTGTTTATAATATGATGCCTAAATATGAAATGATGAAGTCTTTACTTTATATAAAACTTGTTAACCAGCAAATACTATCAAATTTCAAACCAAAACCATTTAACTGCCCAAATCCAAACGACTCGATAAACAATTGATTTTTTGAAACCGAAAACCGACCCGAATCGTAATTTAGTAAACTCGGAATGGAACCGATCCGAATAACGTTAAACCGCAGAAGAACCGAACTAGTTATAAATTGAACCAAAAAAGAACCGGATCAATTATAAACTGAACCGAAAAAAACCGAACCAGTTATAAACCGAACCATAAAAGAACCGAACTGTTTCCAACCCGAAACCGCTTCCAACCCGAAACTGTTTGAACCGGGATAAAAACTGTTTACACCAAACCATTAACAAACCGCAACCCGTTTGCATCGAACCGTTTACTACCCGGACTGTTTACAACCCGAACCGAATTAAAACCGATCAAGATTAAACCGAAACCGAATCGAACCGATAAATATTTAAACCGAACTAAAACCGACCCGCGAGACACTTAAACCGATTTAATACCGACCCGATTTAATACCGAACCGATTTCAAACCGAACCAAACCCGAACTGTCAAACCGTTTGACAGTGCTAGTTTTAGTTGATAACATTTTATGCAATTTTAAAAAATAAAATAAAAACTTGAATTATTCTATGAAATATTTATACTAAACTTGGTCATTCAACTGAAAGTTTGAATATTGTAAAGGGACTAGCCGACAAGTCAAAGTTAAGATTATTTTTTTTCCTACATAGATTTCTTATATTCTATAATCAGCATTTTATATGTTCTTGTTTAATAATTGGTTGAGACTTAAATCATTATTTGCAGTCTTATTTTGAATGTCAATAATACTTGTGTGAATACTCAATCTTCTGGAGGACCAAGTTACCGAATGGTTTTTTCTATTTTGCTTGTGACGTTTTCATGATAAAGATTATTTATTAATTGAGAGAATGAAATTGATTATGTTCTGGTTTCACATGTTAGTCAATCTGTTCATTTTTCAAACAGCAAGGCAATGTAGTATGTACCAGATTTTAAGTAAGCTGCGTTGTTAAGAAAGAGCAGAAGTATTCAGTTTCCCATTAGTTAAATACTCTTATTTATCTACTAATCAACCTTACCTCACATGCTGTATTACCTGATTGTAGTGAATAGGGGAATAGAGAAAAGGAAACAATTGTTTGTCAATCAATTATTATACAGCAAAATTAATACAGATTACGCTAGGATTTTAAGCTTAAGCTGTAGACCTGTATAGAAGAACTGAACATGTTTCGATAGTGGCTTTGAGGGTAGACCAGTCTTAATCCTATTATTATGTTTGTCAACGCAGGCTTTTCACGAATATCAACAAGTATGTTAAGAGGGAAAATTGTGCATGAGTTTTCCAAGCCTACCTAGCAGAGCTTTAGAGAGTGTAGACCTTTGGCTTCTGACTAAATTCTGACTGTTCTATATCAGTTGTTCTGTGCTATCTTTTACTGCTACTTAATTTACATGTAATTGATATAATGGTAAGTACGTAGTTAGGATGTTCTAATGTTTAGTTTCAAGGTACCCTGTTACAAAATCTAGATAGTCTAAGATTGTCTACAGCGTTTTTTGATCTTTATTTTCTAGTTTATATTTTTACTTGTTGACTTTCTTCTGAATGTTCAGGATGGGCCTACCAACTCTATCAATTTGGGTTGATAGTGGGTATCATCTTTGAGATCTTTCCTTGAATTAAAGAAAATAATCATATATAGCAGGAGAGATTCAGAGAGGGGGCAATGGATGTAGTTGCAACATTGTAAACATTGTTGATTATAGAGCAATGGAAATTAAGGCATCAGAAACTACTGAGTCAACTAATTTTCAAATTTGAAGCTTGAATAAAATTACCCAGAATTCTGTAATGCTCACCTAATGTTCGTCATAATGTCTGAGTGGGAGTTTGGCTGCTTTATTTGGAGTTTCTATGCTGAATGCCAATGGTTTCATTCTTCGTGTAGCTTTATTGGGAAGAAACTCTCATACAGGGGTGAGTAGCTTTAATTGTTACCCTTTGGAGTATATGATTGTTTCTGAAGATTGGCCTCTGTGATGTATATATAATAATAAGTTTAAAGTTAGGATAACAAGGCACAAGTACTACCACTTAATACTCCTTTTATCTAGGTATAATATTTTCACCAAAATTATTTTGGGATATCTGGACAAAATTGTTAATGTAGCTGTCAAACTTATTATTTTGATGCTAAACAGAATCTGCAGTTTAATAAATTTTCAGGAAATAATTATTACCAACCAAAAAAAAGTAAATTTTAAGTTTTTTTATTGATCATCCTTAAAACTTGAAAGTTATGAGTTTTTCTGAAGATTGATGTGTGTTTGACTAAGTTTAGTTCCCGTCAAAAAAAAAAAAAAAAAAAAAGTTTAGTTCCTGACATCTAATTTTTGAATTGATTGGGCATTTGTTTAGCTTCAATGGCTTCTATGGATGATTCCATTTGTTTTCTGCTGGTAGTGGTACTGCCTTTTTCTAAATGTGTTATGACATGCCCCAATCCCCGTCATCGGTAACAAATCCAATCATTACAGTGGAAACTAATCTGTGAATAGCATGTATCAGATCAACCATACTTTTGTTCTTCTAAAGCTTAATTCTCACAGCTTAACTGAATAACTGCTCAAGCCTCTGTTTTTGGGTTCTGCAATTCCATAACTGGTGACGTCCCTGACAAAATGTTGATTCTTTACTGCAGAGAGAACATGAACTCAAAGCAATGCAACTGCATTAAGGCTACAGATAAGAGGATTGTAGAAGTCTGTCCTGATATATAAAATAGCCGAATAGGCACACGGATGATATCCTGTATGTATGCTGCATTATGCAACTGGTGAATTGATAACCTAGTTCGGACAGGTGATTCCAGGGATCACCTCATCAAGATTACTCGGTAAATAATGTTTAAACTATCTCTAATAAATACTTTTTCCTTACGATATGCACCATAATGGTTGATTAGGGAATGGGGAATAAATAATGATGAAATTAGTACAATGGAACCATGAAGTGCAGATAATATTCTTTCATTACTATTTTGTGCTTGCTTGATATGACGAACAAACAATGCAAAATCATTCTTAGAAGCCACCTGATTTACCTTCCTGAAGCAGTGAAATCACTGCTGCCTCAAAAGACAATAAAACAAAACTGAAAAAAAAAAAAACAAAAAAAAAAACGCAAGTAAAGTTTAAGCATTACTGAAATTTCTGCTCCAGTTTCATTCATTATAAACTACAGTATATCAGATCAAACTCATAAAACATCACAAGTCAGAGAATAAATCAATAAATATAAATCGTTTCCAGTACTAAACAATAACTGCAGTTCTGTAAGGAAACATCCAATATATAGTGGCTTTTTAAGCTCTTAAATTAATTGATACTATTCACAAGATTTTGTTTGCCAACCACCTTGCATCTGCTTTTACATATTACCGAGGATTCAACTCAGTGATTTCACATTCTGCTTGAATGCTATAACTTTCACGTGGAGCTGCTTTCTTTCCTAGACGATAAGGGAAAGCAGGAGGGCGTACAGGTGATGGAATTGTGATAGGTTGGGTGTTAAGCATGAGCAATACTGATGCAATGCTAGGCCTTTTATCTGGCTCTTCTTGAATGCACAATAACCCAACCTGTATACATCTTTCTGCCTCAGCCTTTGCAGAAACATTCCCTAGTGCTGACTCTAGCAACTTCAGAGAATTTCCTTCATCCCAAAGCCTCCAAGCCTTGTAATGAGCCATCACAATATATGATATCAGTTCATACGGGGAAGCAATTTATTTATTTCTTTTTTTTTTTTGGCTGGGGGGGGGTTGAGGGGGGTTATGAACTTATGATTATGAATAATTCAATCAATCAATCAAAGTTTATGAATAATTGATTACAAATTTTTAACTTACATAATCTAGAAGGCTATCTGCCTCCATATCTGGATCAAACAAGTTATTCCGCTGACCACTCAAAATCTCCAAAAGTATGACACCATAACTAAAATGTCAGACTTTCCCGAAAATTGTCCTGTTATTGCATATTCAGGAGCCATGTATCCGCTGCATCACATTTTACGTTTCTTATCAAGGTTAGCATTCTTCTTCTTAAGTTGTTAATATTATTAAGCTGCTTTATAAAGTGATAAGGATATAAGACAATGAATTCAATTTGAAATAAATCTTACAATGTCCCTGCCACCCTACTGGTATTCCCCTGACTTTGGTCCCCTCCAAAAAGCTTTGCCATGCCAAAATCTGATATTTTTGGGTTCATCTCTCCATCTAACAATATGTTGCTTGGTTTAAGATCACGATGGATAATTTTGGGCCGAGAATCTTCATGGAGATATAAGAGGCCTCGTGCAATTCCCATTATGATGTTGTAACGTGTCTCCCACTTCAAATTTGCGCTTCTTTTTTATCTGCAGTTTATGATTGATGACATAATATGAATGAAGGTGTTTCAAATGAGTCACATGTCTGCACAGAAATTGTTATGCATTGAACTTGTTTTCCCCTAGATGTGTCAAAGTAAACATTACCAAATAAATATCGGTCAAGGCTCTTATTGGGCACAAATTCATAGACTAGTAGCATCTCATCCCTTTCCAAACAAAATCCGAAAAGTTTGACAAGATTTTTGTGCTGAATTTTGGCAGCTAAACATGCTTCAGTCTTAAATTCCTTGATTCCTTGCCCTGAAGCATTTGACAGCCTATTAATGGCCACTGCTTGTTGGTCTGCAAGTTTTCCCTGAAATCAGCATTGTCATTTAACAATATCAAATAAGTGAATATCTATAGTGGGAGAGCATGAATTGCAAGATCACATCATAAGTATCACACGAACCATGTAAACAATTCCAAATCCACCTTGCCCAAGCTTATTGGCTGGTGAAAAGTCATCAGTGGCTGCTTTAATAGTATCCAGTTCAAAATGCAGGTTTTCCATGCTTTCAATTTCCTCAATCCCTGAAATGACAGAAAATCATTGTTAAAGTGTTTATTTTGGGTTGTATCACTAGCCTGATTGGTTATAAATTTCTTTATCTTAAGCACATCAAGTGATGATTTGTCTTTGTAAGTTAATATTTCCTTCTATCCCATTAATAACCTGCCAGTTCTTCCTTTAACAGGTGAAAGTGCGAGAAGAGAACTTACCAATGGGCTTTCGGGTGGATTTATTTCTCTTCAAAAAGGCGAAAAAGTGTAAGAACAAAGATGATGCTGCAACTACTGAAGTAACAGCCAAGGCTATGTATATCCCCTTGCCTGAATTCACAAATAGAGACGTAAGTTTTACTTTATTCATACTCTAGTTATATTTCATATTAAGTAGTTCGTTTTCTTTCTTTTGGGCAAGTGAGATTATATTTTTCCCAAAAACAATCAGTATGTAAAATACAGTTTATTGGAGTGTTTATCTTTGTTTGTCATAATACGCAAGGGAATAAATCAGAGAGAGAGAGAGAGAAGAGAAGAGAGGGGAGGGGGTGGAAACTTTAAGGGAGCAAGATGAAAAAGTCTTATATCATACTCTAGTTATATTATAAGTACCTGGTGAAAGAGATCCAGCATCATTGAAAGCATACATCAATCTGCAACTTGGTTGCAGGAGTCCTCCTGATTGGGTACCAGGTGTCGTAAGCTTACTTAGTGCACTATTTAGGCAATTACTGCAATATGAGGGGCTCAAATCAGGAGTGCATTCTACAAAACAAGTCATTGTCAGGTCTTTAGTTAGATAAACTGTTGTGCTTGATGCTAATGATGAGTTCCCAGTGGTAGCCGTGCTGAAGAGGCTGATAAATGTGTCTGTCAAGTCTTGATTATACTGACTATACTTTGCTTGTCCACTCTCCATATATCGATGTACAGATTCATCATTGATTGCGAATATGGAGTGGTTTGCATAGCGTAACATGCATTCTATATACCACACTATAGATGCTACACTAGATGGACATTGTTGTCGAATCTCACCCTGTGCAAGTGTGATGCAATCTTGGCAGACCTGATCAGTGGTGTAACTGCTGCAAAGGAAAAGGCCATAGACTTGGTTGGGTGTTTCTCCACTACTGACGTTGTAGAACTTGTTTGTGCTAGCTCTGGAGGTGAGGTTAGATAATAGTAGATCAACATTATTTGCGTATTCACTTTCCTGATCATATTGTTGATCCCCTCCACAATAGCTACCTAAGTATGTGACTTGATCCTCGGCAGTCACAGCCTGGAGTAGAAGATCTGAAAGGCAAAGAAATAAAAAGGTTCCTGATAACAAATGGAGTACAATTTTTGTTTGGTCCATTTCTTCTTTTTGTTTGTACCAGGAGGAATATTGCAGAAATGCAGACCATGGGATTTTAAATTTACTGGCTTCCTGAACACTCCCTTCTGACTAATTAATATGTTTACATTATTAATGAATGGGTTTTAGCTTAATAGTTTATTTTTCAACTGAATGTGACCAAAAAACTTTTATGCTGCATAGAAACTTCAGTTCCCATCATCTGATTTAGCATCTGAATTATTAATTACCTTGTTTATGTAATACTAGCGTTGATTAATTGAACATCTACTCAAAATCAGATATAAGAGTTATTGCTTTTAATTAAAGTTGTTTTTATCTGATTCGTCATCTTTGCTTAAAGTAATTGTCATCTTTGTAGCATTTCAACTTAATCACTTTGAAATCCTGAGTCGGTGATGGTTATTTCCTGGAAAGTGCCACCAATTGAACAGATGACTATTAGTAAAATATTAACTTTGACTGGGAATTTTTTTTTACTTTCAACAAAATGTAAGATAGTGACAGAACAATTAATTATTGTATGATTAGTTAGTCCAGAGTAAGTTAAAATTGATTGCTTTGGGCACAAATCTATGTATCAAACTTCATTAGTCTTTTCACTACAGAAATTCTAAAAAAGAATACTAAAGTCAATGGCTATTCTTAACCCAAAAACTCTCTGTTTGCTCTGTCTTTCAGTCTTTTTCAGACCTGTTGTTTCGGAAGATCAAGTTACTTTTTTGCAGTAGTTTTGTTCTGAAGAACAATTTGAACATGAAAGTGTATATCAAAGAAATCTAAATCATCTTCTAGCAAATCTCTCGAGTGAAGCGGTTTCAAAAAAGTTCTACAACTCCACTGAAGGTGATGGTGTTAATAAGGTGTACGGCCTATTCCTTTGCAATGCTGCCTACACTGCTCAACTTTGCCAAGACTGCATTACTGTAGCAGCAGGGCAAGTTCAACAAAAATGTCCATATGATGTTGATGCAATAGTGTTTTATGGACAGTGCATGCTACGTTATGCTAACCATCCCATATTCTCTATTGAGGATGATTCTGTGCATTTCAGCTTTGAGTATGGACCACGGATTTACAAGGAGTTTGATCAGCAATTATCGAGCATATTAATTGACCTCTTCAATAAGGCCATAGCAGATAATGCGTCCCTGGCTTATGCATCAGGAGTGGTTTATGTTAGAGAAACCATATCACTTGTGGCCTATGTTGATTGTACTCCTGATTTAAGTCCATATGACTGTAACAGATGCTTACAAGTAGGACTCAATAGGCTTCCAATGAATGGAAGACAAATTGGAACAACTGTGCAGCCAAGTTGCCGATTGTCATACTTTTATTTTGATGTCAGCCCAGGTGGCACTTAACTCCAAACATTTCCTCTGTCTTTCCTGAAATTTTTTCTTTCATTCATAATTAGTTTATGAAGTAAAATTCATCATGAAGAAAATCTGAAAGGAACTTATTAATGGATGCAGGAAAACGATTTGGTGCTTCATATATTGCTCTTACCACAGTTGCTTCCATAGCAGGGATATCATTTATCTTGAACTTCTATCTGTGCTTCCGCAAAAGCAAGGAAAGAGGGAAACCCACTGGTAAATCATCTTCTGAAGTATGAAATTTGCAGATATGCATGTGTTGGGAAATAGAATTTCATGATACTGGGAAGAGTTATTTATTTTATTTTTAGTACATTTTCCACTCGACTCTGTAAATGGAGATGTCATATCATGGTAGAGTCTATTCATTGCTACAAGAAAGATAATTGAATTTATACATTACAGAAATTCCTTTGTCTTTTCTCAGGGATGAACTTTAAACCTGTTTATTAAACTGAGAATATACAGATCTTGGTGGTTTGAAACATCAGTATCTTTAATATACATCCTTGTTTAGACAATGACAGTTTAGAAGTATCGTCTACCACATCTTCCCTTTGAATTTAACTTAAGCATAAATTAGTAAAATTTCAAGGACCATCCAGAACAAGAAAATTATCCCTGGATAATGATTAAGGTCCGACAGGATGTTGATGAATAAATGAGTATTACCTTCAATTACAAGATTATAGTTACATTGTTAATTAAATAACTATTTTCGATTTAGTGTACTAGTTTTATCAAATATATCATCTACAAGAGATATTTGTCTATCTGCTAAAACATTACTAGTTGTGCTTATATGCCAAGGAATATGGGGGTAAAAAAAAATTTGTAGTCTTGTAGTACTAATTTTTTTTATTTATTTTTTCACGCAAGCAGGACAAATTTTAGTGTATTAATTTTATCAAATATCTCAGCATAAATCAGAATGAATGAGATTCTGTGACGTGTTTTGCAGGACTTGAAGAGATTGAGAGTTTGGAAACTCTGCACTTAAAATTTAGTTCTATCAAAGTTGCTACAGACAATTTTGCCTCTGCTAATAAAATAGGTCGAGTTGGATTTGGAA